ACGAGTAATATGAAAACGCACGCAGGACGCTCGGCCGAATGAGGGAGACCGAAGAAGGGAGACTCCCCCCGATTTCCCGGCGGCGTCCCGGATGAAATCCAGCGAGAAACGACGGAAGGGACGCGCGGACATGGAATACCGATCATACGGAACGTTTTCAGCGTGCTCGAACGCACGCGTGCGAAACTGGCCGGCTCCGGCGATATTTTGAGGAATTCATATCCGCGCGAGGCCGTAACCAACGTTTCGTTGTTGGCCGCTGTTGCCGGTTCCCACGTTCCAGCACTTTCTCTCCCTCTCGAGCCCGTTCCGCGCGCCCACAGCGCGAGTTGTTTCGTTGTTCGCGAATTTAGCGTGGAAAATCGATATGTTCCCGATTAGCGCGCGATACAATGGCGCGAGATCGCGCGGCTCGGAGGCGCGAACGATGACGCAGGTGAGAATCCCGTCGGAGGATGCCGCCGTAAGGGTTCGAACGCAACGGAGGGAATTGGAAACGAGGGGATTAAACGCAGGGAACGGGGAATTAAATTTCGACATGCGGACCATTGTGGAAATTTGCGACAATGGAGTGAAGAATTTGGATTAAGAACACTGTCGATTCTATTCCTTGGAACTTGAGGGCTTAGTAGTTGACTTTGAAAGTTAACCTCCCGAATTTCCGACGACTATCAATATATAAATGAGAATCACCTTGAATCGATCGATAATTGTCAGGAAAATGATAAAAATGTTCACGATGACGGCGGAGGTTTATCAGAAAATAATCAAAGTGGCGATCCTCTTTTAAAACGTTTCTATATCTTATTCTCTGTTTCTTTTACTGTGTTCTAAACGATAGTTTTCCTAATATCTTATTCCTAATTCCTAATATTTAATTCCTCGTTCCTTATTCCTTTTATTAGCTTCGAGCCGAAGTAAAGTCTACAATATATTTTATCATGTGGAAATCTCAAAAAGTGATATTTGTAGTCTCAAAGGATGTCATCGGTATTCCTGCGATTAAATGTTCTCAGCGCCATATTACTAACAATACTATAGTCGCACAAGTACTATACAACACTTGCTTCAATCAATTGAACCGATGATACTTCTGTCGGTTCAATTTAAGAGAGCAGGCAACGGAAAATTCAGTTATGTCAACGGAATTGTTGCTTCTTTTTCGTGTGAAAGATTACAGGCACGGCTCTGTGCGCTTCTTCTTTGCACGGCCGCCTGCAAACGATCGGAGAGATGCCTACGCGAAGAACGTCGCGGGTATTGCGGGCCGGTTGCGAGAAGTCATTGAGCAAGTGAGAGTAATCATCATTATTTCTCGGTTTACCGCACGTATCCACGCGCTTCTCGGCTGCTTCGCGACTCAACGGCGAGAATGCAACGAATTCCCGAGTGGCTCTCCCTCGGACGCCGACGACGGGGCATTACACGGCTAGTTAACTCGGCCCGCCGCTCGCGAACGTGAGAAATTAATTTCGCCGCGGATGCGCGCCGCGGAATCAGATTTCGACAAATTGCGCGCGCCGAGTTTGCCTACCTTTTACGCGCCCGCGCGCGCACGCATTGTTCTCTTTTTCTCCGTTTTTTTTTAATCCGAGGGAAGGAGCTTTCACCGGAAGCACGTAATAACGACTACGCCGTTTTGTCGCGGCTGACGTAAGCCTCGGGGACTTCACAGCAGCCAGCAGGAACTCCGGCCAATCTCGACTCGATTTAACTCCGCGTTCAATCTCGCGAAAAGTCGCCGCACCTTCGGCTTATCTCGGAAGATTCAACTCGCTCAAGGAAAACCGCCGTCACTCACGGAGAAAGGATCAGCCATAGAAGTTGAAACGTAGTCGTGGCAGCTGAGCTGCGAATCTCTGAAATGGCTAATGTCGTTTTTCTCTTACTGTCGCGGTTAAATTTATTTATTTACGTTTGGATTTAGATGCCACAGCGAAACATATTAGCTGGATCGCACGATAGTACAAGAGAGAGTGGTGTTATACCAATCATTCATCCAAAGTTTAGGTTAGCTTGTTATTTTATTTCTGTCAATTATATTTTGCAACTTGTTTAATTGGCACGAGAGCCTTTAATAGAGGATGATCATGATTATTCAATATCTTTTGCTAGTTAAAATACAGGAGTGACGCGATCCCCCAAATCTTCCCCATTTCTGGATCGAGCCTCCTAAGGGATACTTGGTACATTTTGATTGTTTCATTAAAACGTAAATTACTCTACGAATTATTATTACTTTTCAACTCAATATAGTCAGATGCATTATTAAAAGATCTATGACACTTGCGTAGGAACGTTTTGACCTTCCCTTCGTCTTTCAAGATATTCAACCAAATCAAAAGGGAGCGTCAAGTATCCCCAGATTCTCGTACCACACTTCCTCACTTTTATTATACGTTATCATATTTGAAAAAAAAAAACATTCTTAAGCATCGACGAACTCAAAATTCCAAATCTGTGGATCACGAGCCGATCATCTTAAGTATACCGCACTCACTTCGTCGACTGATGCGAACGCATCGTTCGAATCATCTATGCCATATAACAACAACACTATTAACTAACCTCAACTACTCGCGCTCTTAATAGTAAGCTATCGAAGTTGCACCTCGCGGCGAATGCGTTTTGCCTGCAATACCGAACTTCCAGCACTAGACGGAAAAGTTCGAAGCTGAAATTGAGCTGTTATCGCCGGAGTCATCGCGCCACGCGGAGACGAGCTCGACGAGTTAATCGAGCGGTCGCTTGCAGATTCGCGACGCCCTTTTCATCACGCGCGGCAGCGCCTGATGACCCTATCGATCGATCATCGCCGATGCATCCTTGACGCAACAGCACTTGTCATCGAACGAACGGGGCCGGGGTGCTGCTGCATCCTCGTGAAACGGAGAAAAAGAGACCTCTCCGTCGGTGGGCGGCCTGAATGGATGAATTGTTCTTATGAAACGCGTATAGTCCCCCGGAGGATTTCTCCGGTGGCGCGCGCAAGGAAAACGAGCTCAAGGTAGCCCTTGCCTGTGCAACCGCGATTATGCGGCCGGCGTACGTGGAAGTCGATCGTCAGGTGCGGCCGCACACGCCTCCCTCGTCTCGTGCGCTGAAGCTGCCTGGGACTGCGTTTAGCTCGATATCTCGCGGAAGAGGGGATCGTGCGTGAGAATTATGCAATTCGAAAGCGGCGCGAAATGGCCATCGTCGTCGACGGTATCTCATATTCGCTTCTGGAGCCTTTTTCCTTCCTCCCCCTTGCCCAAGACGCTCGTTCGCAACGTTTTTATCCTTGCGCCGGCGGCACGAATCAATTTTCCCCCGCGTTTCTTTTCCCGGGGGAAAACCAGTTCTGCATTCGAGGCGTCGCGTCGTGTGTCAATGCATATACGTGCGCGACTTGCGCCGGATACCGATTGGCGTAATCGCGGCGTCGGCGAGATGCGATTGAAATAATGGAGCGTACACACCGAACGCGCGACTCCTCTCCGGTGTCACGTGTGTCGCGCCGGGTCGCGTGATCGTTATCGATTGTTGGGCAACGCGGTGACCGGCTCGAGGGGCCGCGAAACGGCCCGGTTGGCCGCAGGCCAGACGCCAGAGAAAGAAGGGCGACGCGACCAGCTGACCCAAAGTCCGGAGACGAGGATGACCTCGAAGCGATCGCCGCGGTACCGAGAAACGTCCGTCCGCTCGGAGTAACCGGATGTCACCTGTTACGGTCGGGTCGCGAGAGTTCAGGATCGTCGCGCGATTCAAGGGACGACGAGTCGTTCCGAACGTGCCGATTCGCTGGCGAACCCCGGCGAAGTGGAAGACGCGCGACCTCACCGTGTCGAGTTGCTCGGAGTGCGAAGTGATACTTGAGGAGAGACGCGAGCGACTTCCCGAATCGCTGCTTACTTCTTCTTGCTCACCTCTCGTAAGCTGTTTCTTCCTGTAGAATCTAAACTGTTACGTTTCGTCCAGAAATCGAGATTCCATCGGAAATTGTGAAGTTACCCCTCGCCCCCTTGAAGCGGGGGCGACTTTACGTTTACGTAGTTAGGAAGGCCCGTCGGATACATGAAACTTTCTCACGAACAATTTTCCGACTCGACAAATGCTTTTAGGCTTATTGGCTCGTCACACTTTACGTCGGCCACCCTGTAGAATAAACAATTGCTTTCACGAAAAGCTACAGATTTAAGAGCATGAAAAGAAAGTCCGGTAATGGTTGGAAAATGCGTGTGGTCGGGCGTTTCGATGCAATATTTGATATTTAAATTGTCCGTCGCGATACATCACACCGCGCACGCATCGTCACGTGTGCGCGAGCGTGCGAGCACAAATGTTACACACACACACACAGGCGCGCTCTTTCTCTCACGTGCGCGCGACGCGCGGGTATTCTCCGGACGAGACGAGAGGAGTCGGTCAGATAACTGTACGTCGCGGCCTCCGGAGACGTCTTCGGTGTCGCCGACGTCGTCTGGCGTCCTTTGCTCACCTATTCTTTCACACACACACACACACACACGCACGCACGCACGCACGCACACACACATATACAAGTTTCATTCCGGGACGCGCGTGTCTAGCGCTGCGCCATTTTTTCGCGCCATTTCTTCACTTCGCTTCGCTTCACTTCGTGAATCACGAGCGGGAAGTGCAATTAAGCTAAGTTCGCTCGAAACGTCGATTGTGATCGCCGTCCCGACGCCGAACGGCGAAACGCGTTCGCAAGCACCGGATAATCGCGACCGTTGCGACGGGGATGACGCATCGCAATTATTTCGTGAAGAGCCGCGACGATGACCAAATGAAGCTCTTTCCGTTATAAACATCCTTCGATAATTCCCTTTCACCACCCACCCGTTTCCTCCACGTCGAACGTGATCGAGGCGACCTTGCGCGCACACGTGACGACGACGTTTTACAGACACGTACGGATCGTCAAAGCGTGTCAAACGGGATCGATCGCAGATACGCAGGACGTTAAACGGATGCCTCTCTCTTTCCTTTTTCAGATGCAGCTGCGCCGAACGAGAACATTAGGGCCTCCAGGATAGAGAGGGACCTGCAGGGTAAGTCCTTACGAATGTCCTGTGGTGTGTCTAACAAGCTGTGTACTACAGTCGCGACACACTCGCGACACACTCTGAGTCACACTGATACGCGCACGAAAACGAGAACTGCACTCAAGACTTTTCATCCGGATGGATGGCTCTGATCGTCCCGATCCCGGAGACGGTTCTCTCTTCTACCCCCGGACGCCTCGGGGATTTTGAGTGCAGTTCTGCGAGACACCGAACAGTCTTTTCCGCTTTGTCTTCGCTCTCTGATTCACATCTCTTCTCACGAATGTATCCTCACATTTCGCGTCTGAAACATTCACGTGCGTGTTGACGCGAAGTGCGGCCGTGTAAATAATTTCTTCTCGAGCGGGAGTCACTTTCTTCTCGAATCGATCGCTCTCTGTGTTATATGTACATGTATCAATCGTTTCTCTGGTGTCCGGAGGCTTCGAGATCTGCCGTGCGACTCGATTGCGACGTGTTCTTCCCCATGGACGTGAAAATTCGCTTGCGCCGCGCGGAAAGCTTCCGCTCGGATCTGAGAGATGTCTCTTTTTATTTTGGAAAATATACATCTTTCTATTTTTCAGAGAAGTAGCATCCTCTTAAATACAGTTTCGATGAAAGATATTCAATTAAGAAAATTATTACTCTTGAAACTATTAAAATCTTTACCGAACGATCGATAAGTTCATCTTCGTATATTAATTTTCCTCCAAGATACGCACTAACCGTTCGGCGATCTGAGAATTTTCAGAACCTAGGGATTGTACATAAGCAACTAATGGCTAAAATCTGTCTCTCACTCTCTCTCTCTCTCTCTCTTTCTCTCTTTCTCTTTCTCTCTGTCTCTTCCCTCACGCACGCATGCCTCTCACTCTCTGTGCCCGGGTGAAGAACTTTGTTTTTCTCTCCGAAATAAGAGAAAGAAGAAAGCAAATACGAGCGGAAGTAAGGAAGTATGGTAATGACGCTAATCACGCGGGGTATACCGCGACTAGCATTACAGCGGATGTCCTAGGCTACGCAAGAAGAAGGCTCGTCTATTAAGATCGTCTATCTCTTTTTTCTGTTTCTGTTACTGCTCCCGTCTGCCTCCCCGCCTTCAACTCTTCTTCAACAACTGGATGCCGTCTGCCTCCGTCCGCCACTCCGTCTCTCCGACGACCTACATATAATAATCAAAAAAATAACAACATACGACTTGCGCGACTTCGTCGACCGACGCGAACGCACCACGACGACGACGATTACGGACGACGACGCACGCGTCGCACACTCGCTCGCGCGAACGCTGAACGACGACGCTCGGACGGACGCGAAAAACCGTGGCTGACCCGCGATGCGCCCCCCCCTCCCCCCGAACGATCGATCGCATTAACTTCGCCCCC